GAGCCCTTCCCGAGGCACTTTAGCTGGTCCTACTGCCAAGTGGCCAAGAGAGTGCCGAGCCACGCTGACGTGTCGTTGCCGACGGAACGTTTCACTTCTGCTTGCAGCCGTCTCTCCTGATCGACCCTCCCGCCCTGCCTCTCTTCAGTTCTTCGCTGGATCAGGGACAGCGTCTGCCCAGAGATCCAAGGGCGTTTTGGCGAGAGCTGCAGGCGGGGAGTGCAATCGCCGGCGGCAGAATTGAAAGATCGAGTCATGGCTTCCTCGAAATCAGTAGTGGTTGCCAGGTCGTCACTTGCGGTTGCCGAGAGCATCGCCGCGTCGAACGCCCGTGCGAATATGTCGCCTGTCGGCCCCCTCAATGTTGTGAGGTCAAATTGACGAGGGCGCCGTGTCTCGGGATCCCGGGGGACGTAGATTTCCAGATTGACCAAAACCGAGACAATGATGCAAAGCCAGAGCTCGCGAACGGTCACTGTGAACATGGCAAAACTGATGCATCCAAGCGGCGGGCATGAGGACAAAACCAAAATGGCCTAAGTTGCCCGGCGCGGGAGGGTCAGTCGGCTGACAGCCCACACTGTAGCAAAGATCTGTTTATCTGCGGGAACATCGAAATATGTGTTGCCAATGGCGAGTTTCAAATTCACACACACACACATCGATCAAGAGGCTGCGACTTGATGCCGGGTTGTGCTCAGACCAGGGGCAGCCGAAAATGTGAGGGCCCAGAACGATCTCTTCCTGTGGGAAGCGACGATGTAGCTGGGCGTTGAAATCGCCGAAGACCATGACCGGCCCGTGCCCAGAGATTTTGCGCACAAGCTCCCCCCCCCGGCATCTTAAGCCGAAGCAACTATGGAGGAGGGGGCGGAGGAGGAGGAGGAGGAGGAGGAGGAGGAGGAGGCGGCGGATGAGATGGAGGATGCGCAGGATGAAAACGAGAAGGGAGAGGAAGGACGAGCCAGAACGAACAGCAGCAGGGGTAACTGGAGTGAAAGAGGCGGGAGAAGCAGGGGGACCAGGGAAAGTGAAGGAAAGGAAGGAGGGGGCGACAACGTTGAGGAAGTACTCGGACCCAGAAAAATTGCTTGCGCTGGGGCCAGAACGCCATTCTGAACCACAGGATCAAAGCCGCGCGATCCTAAATCAGGGCAAGCGCTGCAGCGGGAACACCAGGTTGGAAGGACCGAGACCGGTCGGATTGGAAAACAAAGCGTAACATTATCCCGGCGGAGAACGCATCCATATGCAGCTGAAGTTACAGCATGTGTGAGAATCGTTGTCGATGGAGCTCTCCATGGGACCACATGTGAGGTGAGCGCCGAATCGGGTGCGAGTACGCCATGCGGACCCTGCCGCCCGTGGAGCTCCCCACGGGGCGACGAAAAGTGTGCGGGGTGCGTCGAATCGGGGGAGGTGCTACCATGCGGACCCTGCCGCTGGGGCCTTCGGTGGCGTCCCCAATGGGGCCACGAATCGCGTGAGGGATGTGCCGAATCGGGTGCGGGTGCGCCATGCGAAAAAGGGTGGAGGGGCGAGGGCGGGGGGAGGGGGGCGAGCAGGGAAAGGAGTATGGAGGGCGATGCTTTGCACTGACCACGCCAACACACGCCGACCCCAGGCCCTCCTCACACAGAGTATCACGCAGTGCACGGGGAGAGGGGCAAAAACGCATACGCACCTGGAGTATGGAGGGAGATGAGGAGGAGGAGGAGGAGGAGGAGGAGGAGAAGGAAGAGGACGAGGAGGGAGGGGCAAAGGCTGGATGAATCAAGCATGCAGGAGGGAGGCCGGCCAGAGGATGTCAGAGGGGATGGAGCAAAAGAGGTGGGCGAGGAAGAGTGACGAGGAGGACTGAGGGGAACAGATAGATGTGCACGGGGGGGGGGGGGGGCAAGCTTCGACCCTGTGGCGGGCGCACCGCGCGGGATGCTGCCAAGCTTCGCCCACGCTCTGCCCACCGAGGCCCACCCACTACCCGAACCGAGCGCTGCTCACGGGGCCGCCCCGAAGCGCACACCACGAACGCGTCATCCACCTCATCCTCTACCCCTCCGCTTGTCGGGGGCCAGCCCGGGGGGAAGTGATAAGGGCGGGCCTTCTCAAATGCTCGGACGTCCCCCTGCCTCTGAGAAGTTTTCTAAGCCTTCCGCGAAGACACAGGAAACTTCTCAAAGGCCGGAAGCCTCCTGAGAAGCCCCGCCGCCTTCTGAGAAAACCGTCTCCTTCTCACTCCCCCCCTTCGCTCGCCGCCGAGCTTCACTGAGGGGAAACGTTGATTAGGGGGGACTGGCACAGAGGGGGAACCATCAAGCTGGAATCGGCGACACATCGCCGATGGATTGGCGATGGGCCCCTAGTAGCGGATCCGCACATTCCTGGGCGGGGTGGGCCATCGGGCCCCTATCGGCGATGAGATGAATGGGCGATTGAAGGTCGATGCATCCCCCCCTGAGCCTATCCCCATTACATTGCCTCTGATTCACGCTCGGAGAACACGATGATTGTGCACAAGCAGCCCCGGGAGAGTTTTCGAAGGATCATTCGGCCATGTCTCTCAAATGGCATGTAGAATTTGACGCAGTGCCTGCAGCTGTCTGGCTCTGGGGTTGAGTCTGGAGGACGGTGTGGCGCGTGTACCAGTGGGGAGCTGAAATTGAACCAACGTCTCCATCCCGATCCAAGACATCAGAGGAACAAACATCCAGCGCTATTGCATGTGCATGCTTGAATCAGCACCCCCTGGAGATGCCCTTGGCTGGCCTCAACAGGCCCGCCGGGACTATCGGGGCGTCTCAGCACCACGGGCCGCATCTGACGACGCCCCGGCACACCTGGACTACCCCTGAGGGCTGTCTGTCGTCGCTCCTCGAGCAGATCCGCCACCGTGTCCCCTGGCACGTTGAGGCGTGGTCGAACACCAAATGGCCGACGAAGAGAAACGGGTCTTACGCGAGATGACACAGCGACCTTGCACCGCGGCTTACGCGGGCCACCAGCGCGGCCCACTACATTGTAAACAAGGGCGCTTACGCGCGACCTTACGCGTACAGCTTACGCGCCAACATCGGTGAAGACGACCCAGTATTGCTGCGTTGCTCAAGTGCTCTGGCTGCGGTTCTGCAATTTTCGAAGGACCCCCCCTCCCTCTTGTCACGCAGTGCTCCATGCATCGCTCCTCCTTCCCGAGTGTTCCTGGGCACCCCAACGCCTCCCTGGCGCTATCCAAGAAGTCCACGATGTCCAAGATGGCTTCCAAGACTGCCCGGGCAGGCCTCCAAGTCTGCCAAGATGGCGGATACCTGCCTCCGTAAAGACCCAGTGGCCCACGGGAAGACCGGAAGACCCAAAGGGCATCCGAGAGGCCCCGAGATGCTTCCAAGACGCGCCCCGGGAGGGCCCTCAGGGAGGCCAACATTTTGGCTTCCCCCAGGCTGGCTCGATATGCTTCGCGTTTCACGCTGTTCGGTCGGATCTCTCGCTCCACCCGCGAAGTTCAGAAGCCCACAGTCGACCGACGCCCCAGGAGGAGCCCCACGAGGGCCTCTGGGGTGAACCAAGACGGCCTCGTGGCCCAAGAGGGCCACAGCAAATCCGCACGTCGGCCCCAAGAAACTCCCCCGGATGGCCAAGGGGCACCCAAGACAGCCCAATGTGGCCCCGAGAGTGGTCCAAGAAGGCCCCACGAAGGCCGAAGAGGGTCCTACAGGAACCCCAAGACTGCTCCACAGGAGCCCAATACAGGCCAAAGTCAGCCCAAACAAGCTCCATGAGATGTCCTCAGGAAGCGAGACGAGATGTGTCACATGTGACGGCCTTCTGGGCGGTGACCAAAGGGTCGTTACCCAAGAGTACTTCGCCGGCGCAGTGGCTGATTTGCCGCAGGCACCCGCATGGGTATCCATGGGGCGCTGACGTCAGGGCAAAAACGCAAACCCTGCTGTTCACTCGTGGTGTACTCTCATCCCGCCAGGGTCCAATGCACATGGAGCACAACGAATTTGCAGCGAGAAAGGCCCTGACTCAGACCATCGTAGCTGGCCTGACCAGGGCGCACAAAGCACACAATAGTGATCAAGCCTAGCCAGCCAAACCGATCCATCTGACCTATCATGAAGCCACTAATCATTCGAATACTGGCAACAATGGACCGCTTGTTTTTTTCGGCTGACGTCAAGGCTCGAATCGCCCTGTCACACACTCGTCCAGGGTCCCGTCGTCGATGCTGGCTTGGAGCTCCACTAAACTAAGCCCATCCTTCACGTTGTAGAACTTCTCAACATCCACAACACGAGGAGCATCATAGAGCATGCGCAATATGTGATGTCTCATCACAGCCTTGCCCAAGTCAAAGCCTGAAGGTCCTGAAAGCCAGCTGCATTTCTGAACGGCAAGCTACCTAATCAAGAGAAGGGTCAAGGAAGCTCCGTGGACTCTATCCAAAAACTCGGCATTCGTCTACAGACAGTCGAGGAGGTTCAGATCCTGCCTTCTTGACCAGCCCGGCCCAATGCGGCTAACACGATGTGCGCGACAAGAACACACCGCCGAAGCTGCTGCGGAGCTCTGGGAGACCCCCCCGTCTGTTGATACCTCCTGAAGCTGAACGCTCCTAAGGCTCAACGTCCCTTGCCCGCATCGACCCCGCACAGCCATGTTAATAGCACTGTCTCGCATCAATTTGCACACTATTCATTTGCATGCACTGCCTGAACCTGACTGAACAACCCTCACTAAAATCTGCTGAAAACGTGGAGATAGGAAACCACGGTTGACTCCGGTCGACCTCGTTGTCCAGATCATGATACCATGGTTGAATGCATCAACGAGCGTAATCACGAGTGCTGCATTCTGCACGCCCAACGCAGACCATCCATGGAAAGAATCACGCACAGGCGGCGGGCTCCGGAAACCCTGACACAAACAACTTGCCTTCTCTGAGAAGGCATATGTTCACTTCCACTGGCTTCCACCAACGGAGGTGGTCTCGTTTTGCTTCCGCCGCCTACCGCCAGAGCACCGCCGATTTCCGGCGAGAACGGAATCCAAGCTCCTTCGATCCTCGAAGGCGAGGCCGATCCTGGAACGTCTCATTTCCATGAACCTTCATGAGGGGGGCCCCCCAACTACATGACCCCCTCGCATACTGCACGCATGCTTCGCGAACGCACTGCCTTGCAACGTTTACAAGAGAGGCACTGGGCCCACTTGACATTTCTAGCGCGTCCGAAGGTGTTGTAAAGACGGCGCCGAATGTGCTGGTATTCTTCGCAGCCGAACCTTACGTAGGCACGATCTCCTTGATCTGGGTCCTCAGTGCTCAAACTCAGACGTCGTGGGCCCTGAAACTCTCGACCCAAGGCCAGGGGCCGTCTTTGGCCACAGGGTGTCGTTTGACAATCCTGCGAGGCGTGGGAACGGACTTTAACACTTGACCCCGAAAACGCCGTGGCGCATGATTCCCTCTCGCGACGCATGAAATCTAGAATGGAAACAACACAACAAACGGGTCCTCCCGACTTTGGCAAAGCGCCGTACTGGTCAGTCCGCTTCATGATTACCTCCGAGGCGTGCTTTGTCTCGCGAGCTGGAAGCTGGACTCAAACAGCCAGCCTTTGCCACTGGCTGACCCCTTCTCCGCCTCCAGATACATTTACCCCTACGGCCCGTCTCTCCCATCCCTCCTGCGTCCACCATGCCCCTCCCCCCTCATCCCCCTCGTCCCCTCTCATCCCCCCTCATGGTTCCCACCTCCCTGCTGGTACTACTGCTGCTGCTGCTCCTCCTCCTCCTCCTCACTGATCCCTCCTCCTGCCTTCCGATGACCTTCACTTCCTCGCCCGAGGGAGGACGGGGAGGAGGGGCGATGGAGGAAGCGGCCGGGCGAAGGACGGCAGAGGGACAGACGAAGATCGACAAGGAGGATGACCAACACCCTCGAGCAGCTCCTCCTCCTCCTCCTCCTCCTCCTCCTCCTCCAACCCTGGCCTCGCTTACACCCCGTACTGCTGCTTCTCCCCCTCGCCCTCGACCTCGTCCTCATCCTCCTCGTTCCTCTTCGTTGCTCCACCTATTCCTCCCCTTTGTCCTCCTCCTGACGACCCTCCTCTCCAAGCCTTCGTCATCTCTGGCAAGCCTCCGGGTTCCCGCGAAAACCGCCCCCGCCCACGTGCACGCCGCCAGCGCACCAAAGCTCTTGGCCTCGCATGGGGTGCTGTCTGGCTGGGATTTCGAGACGAACTTGGCAGCGGCGACGGGGATCCCAGGAGACACAGAGATGACGAATCGCGTCAAAATTCTCTCCTCCGCCCATCTTCCTCCCTCTTCGCCGTTGCCGTGATCCTCCCCTCCCTGCATCGAGGAGGCAGCCGAAAAGGACAACAACGACGATAGTCACAGACACGACCATGCAGCCGTCGTCGTCGTCTTCGTCGTCGTCGTCGTCGTCGTCGTGGTCGTCGTCGTGGTCGTCGTCGTGGTCGTCGGCATGGTCGTCGTTGGCCGTTATCGTAGCCATTTTGGCTCAAGATGATTGTGCTTCGGGGGCTCCGCGCCTCCGTGCCAAAAGAGAAGCTGCTAGTCCGCAGCCAAGCTTCAGTGTCTTCGGCGCGGGAGCGCCACTCCATATATCCGCCATGGCACCTCCTCCTGCTCGCGGCGGTGGCGGTGACCCTGGCGGCGGCTGGAAGTGTCAGCCGTGGATCCAGTCTTGGCCCTGGCGTCGAGCAGCCCAGGGGGGCGGCGGTGGCGGACAAAAGGCGCATTGCCAGGTGTACAGCAATTGGCTCTTCGTGGAGCGGCTGGCGGAGGCATCCTTCAAATGCAAGTGCGGCGCCAGTCAATGGGGGGGCGGAACCACCAGCGGGAGCGAGCTTCAATTTCTTGCAGGGAGGAAAAGATCGCCACGGCGGAGGTTGGCCAATCCTCTCGGCTGGGAAGCGACGCAAGAGGCCAGATCACGACGGAGGTCACGCGGGAGGAGACGACACACTGCAGCTGCTTCAGAAGGTAGCTGCCATGGCCGACGACTCGGTCAAGAGCAAGATCGAGCATCTTCTCGCCGAAGCAGCACCACCACCTGCAGCGCAACAGCAGCCACTACCCGGCTCCCGAGCTGCGGCTCGGCAAGCCGAAGACCAAGTGCATAAGTGCGAGGCAACCCACCAGAAGGCCTACCACAGGCGAGAGAGGCTCCGTGAAGAACAGCAGGCGGATCTCGATTTCCAGCAGCGTACGGCGGATGTGGTCACAGCAGAGGCGAAAGTCAAAGAAGAGCTCCAGCGGCATCCTCTCGGCGGTGGCGTTGTTGGAGGAGCACCACAACACCGGAGACCTCAGCTGCCGATCGCCGCCCTCATGGAGGATCAAGAGATCGACGTCGACCCGGGAGACATCTTCGCAGTGGCCAGCGAGGGGATCAGCGACGAGCACAAGGCTGATATCGAGCGGCGCAAGAAGGAGTTCGTGGCACAGGCCAAGGCGGCGGCCAAGGCCGCCTTCGCTGCAGCAGCTGAATCCCTTAAAGCATCCAAGCAGGCAAAGGTCGACCTCATGGACAGAATCAAGAAGAAGAGGAATGTCGACGGGGAGCAGCACCTGGGGATGAACCTCCCGCAGCGCCTGCAGACGATGCCCCATCCCAGCCTGCGGGCACGCAAGCCAGCGGCGACCAGTCGGGCAGAATTGGCAGCCTGCCTGGCGGTCAGCCGACGCGGCCTGGAGCGGGGGAAATGGACGCCAGGACTGCCAAGGAGAAGAAGGACCTGGCGGCAGTCGCCGGAGCATGCAGGACCAAGGGCGCGAGCAGTCGAGGCGCATCGGTCCTAGCGACGACCATTCCATATCCATACAGAACCTGCCCACATGGGGGCCTCAAGAAGAATATCGACACGCTCGAGGACGACATCGCGATCTCCCCCGAGACTCACGTTGGGGCGGGCGGCGCGAACGACATCCTGGATCACCTGGATTTCAAGGGCTGGAAGGCGGTGGTGTCGCCTCCGCGAGCCCGCCAGCGCAGCGAGCTAGCGGAGGCGTTGGGCTGGCGGCCGGTGCCCATCTTTCAGTGACAGCATTGCGGTACCTTGCCGTCAAGAAGGAGCAAATGGTCGGGCTGAGGGTGCTCGACGAGAAGGAGCGGAGTCCTGGGCCTATCGGTTTCCAGGACATGGTTGCAGTCAACTGGCGGTGGAGGGGGCAGTCTATCCTGGTGGTGGGTATGTACCTGACGTCGTCCGTTGGCGCGCGCAGCAAAGTGAACCAGAGCAAGCTTGCTAAGCTGGCAGCTATTACGAGGGGTCATGATGGGCCCTGGGCGGCGATTGGCGACTGGAACACTGAGCCCAGCCAGCTGCGGCAGACGGGCTGGCTCGACGTGCTCGACGCGACGATCGGGGCGCCCGAGGACGTGGACTACACATGTACCCGAAGCCCCATCCAGGATGCTAGACTACGTGTGCTCAGAGACGTGCTGTATGGTCTTGGACAAAGTGGTCTCAGACCAGGCGGACCCAGGCGATCACTACGGAATCCGGCTTCGCCTGCGAGGAGATCACCTCATAGCTGTCCAGAGAGGCCTCAAGTTCGTTCAGCGCCTCGCGCTGCCCGACCTGCCCAAGAGAAAAGCGGACCCCAACAGCAAGCGAAGCAGGCATAAGGCGAATAAGCAGCAGGAAGCGATCCAGCGCGTGGAACGGAACGCATCGGATGAAGAAGCCCCGACTCCAGCTGGGGTCGAGAAGCCGAAAGAGGTATTCAAGCGCAGGCCAGTGCATTGTGCATGGTTGCCAAAGGGATGCAGGGTCAGGGACGATACTGAGGACGTATTCGGCGAGTGCGAGTCTAGCTTAGCGGACGACGTGATCAGCGAGAACTCCGAAGGCGAGGAGGTGAAGGCGAACCCCGCTCGGCGGAGGAGGTTCTCGACCTAGCGGCTGACGCGCGGGACAACCTGTGGCGCATCAAAATGAATCAGGCTGTGTCGGAGGACCGCGCTGCATGGAGACGTCCCCTCGACTGCGCCAAGCCAACTGCAGCATGCCAGTTCGACGAGGGGCCCGCGAGGGAGCTGGGTGCGCAGCACGGTGCTTGGATACACGCGTGCGACCAGTACTACGTCACGATCTTGCAGGTTCACCCCGACAGGAGGAAGACATTCTGCGGCAGGGGCGAGGAAATACGCATCACCAATTTCACGGCCTAACTCAGCGCAGATGTGCCAGCGGACAGCGACCAGTCTATCAGGTGGTGGGGTAACCTTGCGTCTTACTTGCCGGAGCTGCAGCGTTGTGAGAGTGGCGAGGCGCGCGCCACCAGGCTCCCTGGCGAAAGTAAGGCCTTGGGCGGCGCGAGCCCGACTGGAGGCATCATCAAGACGACGGCGAAGCAGAAGCACAGATGGAGGGAGGCCCCCCACAACATCGGCGACATGCGTATGGACCAGTTGCAGCACCTGGGCGTTGCTGCACTGGCCACGGCGAAGAGGGGCAAGCGCGCGGAGGTGAGCGGCGCGCTGCCGGCGTACACCAACTGGGTACAGGAGCAGGAAGCAGCTGGCAGTGGCAAGCTCCACCGCCAATCAAGGGACAAGCCGAGGTGCGACAACGAGGTCAGGGACAGTGGGGCCACGGCCGCGAACATGATCGAGTACATGGACGCCAAGGGCAGGTATTGGCAGAAAAAATAGACGACTCACTTCAGCCACGGGGCCATCCTCGAGAAGCTGGGGATCACCAGGGAGGCCGCGGCCGCCGAGGGCTGGGCGGCCATCGAGATCGAGGACCTGGGCAGCGCCATCGAGTCGATGGCGAAGAGCAAGGCGAAGGGGATCGAGCAGATGGGCGCGCTGGCTTTCAAGTGGCTTCCGCCGAGCGCCAGGGAGGAGCTGCGCAAGCTGGTTGAGGAGATCGAGAGGATGGGCACGTGGCCGCGGCAGCTCATGGTCATGCTGGTCAGCCTGCTCAGGAGGGATGCGGGTGGCGATCGCGCGATTGGATTGCTGCCCGCAGTGGTCAAGCTGTGGTCGAAGATGCGCAGCGAGTACACCAACGACTGGGCCGCGCACATGGCTGGCAAGTGGGACGCAGCAGTGGCGGGCAACAGCACTCTGAAGGAGGCTCTCCTTCGGTCGTTTGCCGACGAGGTGCTGGATCGGGCGCCCATGAAGGTCTACGCCGTCGCCGCCCTGTGGGACCCGGCGGAGTTCTACGACACGTTGGAGCCCACCCGCTTTCTGGAGGAAGGGGCTTCGTCTCGGCATCCCAGCTTGCACTTTGCACCTGGAGATGCTGAGCCACCTGGGCACGCGCCTCATCGGCGAGAGGTCGGCGCGCGCGGAGCCCATCGCCCCCGACGAGTCCACCTGCGCGGGCGCAGGCGTGGCATCGACTTCGGCAGAGTGGCGCTGTGCGCTGTGCTCGAGAAGGTCAGCGCGAAGTACGAGCAGGTCAACGCGCGGTCGTGGGCGGACGACGCCGCGGCCAGGATGGAGGGCCCCAGGCGCGAGGTGGCCAGACAGCGGGCCTACGCGGGGGTGGGCTTCGCAGTTGGCGCCAAGAAGGCGCGGCTGACGCCGCCCGCGAAGTCCGCGCTCATCGGAGCGACGTGGACGTGGCGAAGGAGGTTGCGCCGAGGCTGCACTCGCGCAACATCGCCGTGGAGGTCGAGAGCCAGGCGCGCGACCTGGGGATCGACAGGGGGCGCAGCAACGCAGGTGGCAAGGACAAGCGCGCCAAAAGGACAGCCCGCGCAGACCGACAGGCCGCGCGCTGCTTGGAGATGGCGCGCAGCGGCCGTCGAGCGAGGGGAGGGGCCCGTGCGGTGGTCCAGCGTGGGTCGCTTCCTCGGGCAGCATGCCCCTGCAAGTTTTTCGGGGTGGCGCCGAGCAGCGCCACGAAGTGGAGGGGGGGGCTGACTGGAGTCGTCGCCCCGAAGCTGCGAGGGCGGTGTCTCGCCACGCCCCTGCAGGTGGAGATCGCGAAGAGTGACCCTGCTCTCGGCGCCGCCTTCGCACTGCTGGACTCCTGGATGCACGTCGTCAGCGACGGCCGGAGGCGCAAGAAGGCTGAGCTCAGTTGGCCGAAGCGCTGGAAAGGGGGCCACGGGCGTCACGAGGGCCATGGTCAACACGCTGGTGGACCTCGACGGGGGCCCGAAGGGCCCGTGGCACTGGGTGTCGGACGCAGGCGAGGAGTTCGGCGGCAGCGACCCCACGGGCTTGGATGGCGACCTGGACATCCGCGGCCTAAGACAGGCCCTCAGCGACGCGATCGAGAAGCGGCAGCGGGCATCAGGCGGCCAACCACTACGCGGGCAAAAAGTTGGAGGACGGCGCGGACTTGCGCTCAACCAGAGCCCTGACCCGCAAATTCAAGGCGAAGGGCGAGTATGACAAGGTAGGGCCGCAGCTCGCTCTCTTCACAGGAGGGGCGTGGCCGAGGCAGGGGGTCGCTGACTTGGGCATCGAGGTCGGAGACGTGATGTGCCCAAGGTGCGGTGAAAAAGGCCCGAGTCATGGCTGCATCGCTCGTGGAAGTGCAAGTGCAACGAGATCATCGAGGATTGCAAGGAGCCGGAGAACCTCATCGAGCGGGCCATCAGCCAGGAAGATGTGCAGCCGTGCCTCTGGCTCAGGGGCAGTTTGCCCAAGTCGCAGACAACGGTCAGCCCGCCTCCCGAGCACGAGAGCGCCTTAATCGAGCGTTTCGGCGAGGTCAGTCCGCGCCCGAGCGAGGGCGGCCCTGGCTCCAGCGAGTGGCTGATCGCGGCGGGGGGCGCATCGGGTGGCGAGCGCACGGCGGACCCAAAGCTGATGGGGGATCGCTTGGGGCTGGGTCAAGAATGCAGACGACGGAGATGAACGAGCCGATGTTCGTGGTAGGCGCCAGGGGCGCGCTGGCAGGATGGAGGCAGAGCGTCAACAGGGGTGAGCTCACAGCGCTGAAAGACATGCTCACAGCCGCCAGCGGGTACCAGAGGATCAGGTACAACGGCCGACTCTGCGTACGTCATGAGAGGAGTGCTCAAACTACGGCGTGGGAAGCTGTCCAGGACGCACGTGGGGGCGCTGGTGCGAGGTTCGCGAGCTGATCAAGGGGAAGGAGATGGACCTCGTGAAGATCGAGAGCCACAGGAGCGCGAAGGACGCGGTCGACGCGGGCGTGGACCCCACCGACTACATCGGCAACGTCCTGAATGACGATTTCGTCGGCGGCATCATCGAGCGGGTGCAGGTGGCCAGGGCGCAGGCGCGCACGCTGGGCTTCGCCGAGGGGATATCGCCGCCCTCGTGCGGTCCCGCGGGCTGGCGACGCTCCAGGCCGCGATCAAGGTGGAGCCGTCGGCAGGGCCGTCGCAGAGCGAGCGGCGAGACGCCAATATCCAGAAGAAGCGGGGAAACAAGCAGCTGGCGGAGACGAAGCACGTGATCACGCACGACGTGGACGGCAAGCACTACGGGTGCAGCAAGTGCGGTGGCCGAGTGCCCATTCTCAAGGCGGCCGCGTGGCTCATGGAGGAGTTCGTGCCCGTCGAGCGGACGAAGGCGAGCACCCACGGCGCGGCCTCCAGCAGGGCGCAGGTCGGCCACCAGAAAATCCACGCGAGCCACCTCAGCACGTACCACGACGAGCTGTGCCTGCACTGCTGCCAGCGGTGCGGCTGCATCGCGAGGGAGAGAGCATGCGCGACCTGGCGCAGGAGTGTGCAGGCATCCCATAGCAGACTGGGAGACAGAACCTGTCGCGCATCGAGAAGGGCCTCCAGCCTGGGACGTCCAAGATGGCGACGGACTGGAACAACAGGACGCTGGGCAAGAGCTGCTCAAGTGCTACGAGGTGAAGGGCGCGCCGTTTGCGCGCTCTCGCTCGGCCCCCAGCCTGGGGGATTGGTGGCGTAGCCCCTCCAGCACAAAAGTCGTCGTTGGCCGTCGTCGGCCGCCAATGGCCATTTTAGTCGCACGCTTCTGACGGCAACGAGGAATGTTTGAGCCCAGACTTGAGGGCCACTTCGTCGTACTCCTCCTTCCTTTTCCCCTCTTCGCCGTCGCCGTTGCCGTCGCCCCCCAGAGGAACAAACGATCCCGATGCCGTCACTGCCTGCAACCTCTCCCTGGAGCGCGTTCTGGCCAGGACTCGAATGGTCCGAAACTTCCTCATAAAAAGCCCAACATCCTTCTGCGCTGGGACTTCCAAAACCCACCGCTACAGCGGTCGGGGGGCCTCCTTCTGGTGGGAGGACTGGGGGCCGCCGCCGCCGATGTCCAGGACTTGCTGTAAAATGCTCCTCTGATCCCCAGGCGGCCTCGTTCACCACCATCACCCCGGGGATCCAGGCCAGCGGCCCCGCCAGGCCCGCCACCACGGCCCCCACGGCGGGGGCGCGGTCTCGGAGGCTGCGTGCTGCCTGGGCAGTGGAGGGAGCGCGAGGTGAGGGAGGAGGGAGGGAGGCGCAGGCTGGCAAGGGCTGGCCCTGGGGCAGAGGACTGTCCGGTGTTCGACTTTGCCTACTGGGCCGTAGCCTTTGCGCACGAGGTCAATGGGTGGCGAGGTGATTCGGAGCCTGGAGGAGGCCATGCGACGAAACCGCCTCCGTCCCCCCCTCTTTTTTCTTCTGTCCCCCTGCCTGGTCGCCCCCTCCCGCGGCTCCTCGTCCAGGTCCTCGTCCTCGTCCTCGACCTCCTCCTCCCCCGCATCGGAGCGGCGTGGGCCAGGCCATGGCCCGAGGACTGTCCGAGGACGGCTCGAGGATGGTCCCGGGCCGCATGCGCAGTGTGCCTGAAGCCCAAGGGCTCCACAACCTCGCCTTGCCACTCGTACTTCGCCACTGCACCAGGAGAACGCGGCTACCCAATATCGTGCGGATCCTCAACCGAGGCAGGGCTTCTACGAGAGCGAAGTTGGATGTGGGGGTCGTGGGAAAATGGATGAAGGGAGACGTGAACGAGGGAGGACCAGAGTAGACCATAGGTGCATCACCGATGCTGCAATACACCCTCCCGTCCCAAGTCCCCTCCTCATGCGCCCCTTTAACTGTTCCTGTTCAAAAACAAGAAGCCCCCCCCCTTGAACGACCAGCACAATTGGGCCTGCAATGTCTGCGAGGGTCCCTCTTTGTACAGACGTTGCCTTGCACCCGTCGGGCGCGTAATCGGGAACGCGGCATATCATGATCAGACCACCGTTCAACGAAGTGTCCAACGAGATCCCCTTTTCGAAGCAGGGCCGCCCCCGCCCGTGTAACTGCTGGACAGATGTACACCTGTGCTCTGGAGCGGCCAAGCGCCAACTCCAGGTAACAAAAACTCTCTGGATCCGTGCTATACTACATGCGTTGAGCACTCGTTCAAAACATAAGCGAAGCCTGCCGCGATAACTCAACATTGAAAATCAGTCCTCCTTCCTGCTGAGCGACTGCGCGCGGCGTTGCAGCGAGATCACCATGTTGAAAACGGTCAATGCTCAGTCCTTAAAGCTCGTGCAACATGTTGAAACGAATGAGCGCGGCGCTAAGGCGTAGACACTGGCTCTGCGTAGCCTGCGCATAAGCCCACCATAGACCTGCGCATAGGCTATAACAAGGTCTGCGGCACATGAGCCGGCAGGCCCTGCAAAGTCAATCGACAGGCCTGTACGAGGCCTACTGGTAGGCTGCGCATGAGCTTGTCATATGCCTATCGATAGGCTGCGCAAAATCTATGACAGACCCGTCGGCAGGCTGCGCACAGGCCTGTGAATAATCCTTTATAAGCCTAACGTGGGCCTATGCATAGGCCTGTACATGGGGGTGCCCGTAAGTCTATGCGCAGGCTGTGCACAGGCCCATGGCGAGGCGCCTGCCTCCTTGCAGGCTCACTGGAGGTCCACAACAGGCCTATGCACATCATATGCGCAAGCCTGTGGTAGGTCTATGCACAGGCTGTGCATAGGCTTTTCGCGGGGCGCCGGGCCCTTCATAGGCCCACCAGAGGCCCACCACAGGTCTGCGCATAGCCTGCGCACAGGCCTATGGCAGGTCCGTGCAGGCTAGCAGTAGGCCTATCGCGGGGCGCTGGCCCCTCCATAGCCCCTCCAGAGGGCTACAACAGATCTGTGCATAGTCAAGGGTCGTCGGCCCCTCCACAGGCCCAGCAGAGGCCTAACACAGGCCTGTGCGTAGCATATATGCACAGGCCTATGGGCCAATGGTAGGCCTGTGCGCAGGCTTTGCATCGGCCTGTCGCGGAGCGCCGACCACTCCACAGGCCCACCAACTTAGGCCTATCGCGGAGGACTGACCCCCCTATAGGCCCGCCAGAGGCCTACTTCAGGCCTGTGCATCGCCTATGCGTAGGCCTGTGGTAGTTCTGTGCCAGCGCTGGGGAGGGAGGGGGGGGCCCTGTTCAACCACCCCCCCTGAGGGGGAGGCACCGCCCCCTTTTTCGAACCGCCACCGTCCCTTGCATGTCAAGCCCCCCCCCAGTTCGACCCCGCCCCCCTTCCCAGCGTCAACAGACACCGCGCTTTCGTTGGTCTATGTGCAGGCCATCGGTAGCCACATCGCTGTGCGTAGCCTAACTATGCACAGGCCTATGGTAGGCCTATGCGCAGGCTGTGCATAGACCTATCGCGGGGCGCCAGTCCCTCCATAGGCCGCCAGAAGGCAACCATCCGCTTGTGCGCAGCCTAGGCACAAGCCTCTGGTAGGTCTATGCGCAGGCTGTGCATGTGCCCATGGCGAGGCACCGGCCTCCCTTTAGGCTCAATAGAGGCCCACTACAGACCTGTGCACAGCCTGTGCACAGGCCTGTTGTAGGTCTATGCGCAGGCTGTGCATCGGCCTATCGCGGGGCCTGTGCTAAGCCTGTGCACAGGTCTACTAAAAGGTCAGTGCGTAGACTATAGTAAGCCCTAAGATGCATAGGCGCGAGCCGTGTATAAGGCTGCCGATCGGCCAATAATAGGCCGATCGATAGGCTACGCATAAGCCTATAGTAGCCATGAGCACAAACTATCGTAAGGCCTTCGGTGCATGAGCCCGTAGGCCTATGCAGAACCTGCCTATAGGTCCGCAATTGGGCCCACGCATAAGCTATGCGAAGGCCACGCGTAGGCCTACCGTTGACCTTTAGGCAGGCTGCCCATAGACTCTATAGACCCACACGAGCCTACCACAGGCTATGCATAGGCTATCGGCGGGATTCTTGTTTGCTAAGACGATGGCCCAACTTGAAAACGAATCGCACTCAATCGGTAAAGCAAATACTTAATGTTAGCCCGTCCACGGTGCTGAAGCGGCAATTGCATTTGAGAACTGTTGCAAGCTTGTAAACACGAATGTGCGCGGCGTTCCGGCAAGACCTCATTTTGAAAACGGCCAGTGCTAAATACCTGAAACGGTTGCAACATGATGATGCAACTGCTCGCGGTGCTACGGCGAGGGACCCACTTTGAAAAGGAGCCGCCATTTTTCCATGAAGCTATTGCAAGCTATTAGCACGTGGGCGGCGCGTAGGCGAATAATCATTTTGAACACGACCTTCCTTCCGTCCCTGAAACAGCTGCAACGGTGTAAGACAATTGAGGTTGGAAGCTACGGCGACAGCCACATTTTGAAAAGTACCCACCTCCATACCCGAAGCTGGTTCCAACCTTTACAGACGAGTGTGCGCGGCATCAGCATTTTAAAATCGGCACCCCCCCTCCATCCGTGCAGCTGCTGCAAGCGCTCAAACGACCGAGCGCGCCGTTGAGGCGAATGCCGCATTCTGAAAACAACTGCAGGCTCGTCCCTGAAAACAGTTGCAGGCTTGTCGGGCGAATGTGCGCGGCGCTGACCGCCCTCAATCCCTGCAGCGCCTGCGAACGGTCCAGCTTCACGAGCGCACGGTGCCGAGAAAGAGAGAGGGCACCGTGCCGAAAGGGGCCCGCCCTCCGTCCCTGAAACTGGTGCGGACGCTTCGAGACGCTGCTCAGAACAGATGTTGGCAGCCAGCCCATCTTGAAGGCTTGATGCTGTTGCACACCTCGAGCTTCAGAATCACGAGTGATGAGGACGTCTCAGGCGAAGCGCCCGGCCCGCCCTGCCGACCCGCCTCGGGGCGCGGCAGGGAGTGATTCCACGCGGGAGGAGTTGGGAGGCGGGAGGATGAGGCAGGAGGAAGGTAATTAGAGGAGAAAGGTGGAGGCGGATGGGGGGGGGAAGGCAGTTGGGGGAAGGACATGGAGGAGGAGGAGGAGGGGGAGGAGGAGGGAGGAGGGAGGACAGAGGGATGATGGCGAGCCAGGGAGGAGGGGAGGGAGAAGGGAGGAGGGAAATAGCAGGGGGCGGGGAAGGGGCTGCAGGAGAGAGATGAGGAAGAACGAACAAGCAAATCCAGACTCCGGGGTGCTCGAACTGAACGTGTACTGAGATACTCAAAAGCGTTGAACACCCCCTGGCAAGATCTCCCGAGGACGGCAACAATCTTTCCGAAAACATGTTCCTCCTCTTATAGTGTATCCTCCGCCTCCTCTTTGTGCTC